TGTGTGTGTTCTGACTGCTCCACTGACCAGTCATTCAGCCATCTCTCTTCCTCTCCTCATGCTTCTCTATTTCTCAAGACACAACAGTATTGAAATTATGCCAAATAATAATCCTATAATGACTTCTAAGTATTCAAGTGAAAGTGAGAATCACATACTTCCCCCTTTAATGCAAAAGCTAAAAATGATTAAGCTTAGTGAGAAACACATGTCTGGGAATGGAAGTATGCTTGGTGTGAGGGAGGTGGATGAATGCATTAACAAAAACAAAGAGTGAAAATTAAATTAAAGGCAGGTTGAAAAAGAGGACAAATTAACATGAGAATCCTATATAATAAAAGGCCAGGGACCATAAGTGTAACAACCAGAATGACTGCTGGACCAGTCATCATGAGGTGCGTTGACCACCTCTCGGTCCCTCCCCTCCCCTATCTCCCCATCCCCTACCCCCACCTGCAAGTGAATGGGGAACCACAGCAAAGCGGGTAGCTGGTGATGGGGTGGGACTGGGGACTGGCAAGTGGGCAGAATGGTCCCTCCTGCCCCCCAAGTGGGCACCAGCAACTTCACCTCCATGTGGGAAGTGTGTGACTCTCACTTTCACTTGAATACTTAGAAGCTATTATAGGAATATTCTATCAAATATTCCATCTGATAGAATGTGTTGCCCACTCACGTGGACGGCAGCTGCCACCTCCGCCACCGTTGCTGCTGCCCCTGCCAGAGTTTGGGGTGTTGACAGAAACTGCAGAGTGACCTGCAACCTACCCACCCACCCTGGCGGCAGAGACTATGGAGACTACATTAGGATTGGGTGCTGGCGAACTGGCAGAAGAATGCCCTGATCACAGGCTAGGCCTAGGGACCCTAACTGCATTATTTCATGCACTGGGCCTCTAGTAGATCTATAAGAAAAATAGTACATAACTGACCCAACTTTAGTTTTGATAACTAAACAAAAAATATCTCAAAGAAGAAAGAAACATGCTGGAAGAGTGGTGAATTAAAAGATAGGAAGGGAAGTGTGCTATCCCTTTTATTCCCCTTCATCTGGGTCTTTCCTAGTTTTATTTCCCTCGGCTATAGACAAAAAGACTAGTAATAATCTGAGAAAACTACAAGGCTAAAATTTTGAAACTTAGGTGTTCCTTTACTGACAAATTAGTTGACAAGTTTTTTGTAAAGTTGGGTTAACAGTTTTACTCAAGGACATGTACTTATTGAAATATATTTTTATTACTATGCCAGAGACCTAGGATGATTCCCTTCCTATACAAGGAGAGAAATCCAGAATGTCCTATAAAACATATCACAAAAATTTTAATGATAGATTTTTAAATCTTTCTGGGAAAATCTGTTAACTTTTTGAGCAAAATTTCTGCTTTGGATCTATTTTTGAATCATTAAAAGACCATCAGCTTCCTTTCACTGGCAGTCCTCATTCTCCGTGGGAGTTTTAATTAAAGAAAAATGAAATAATCCCAGTAGCTATTGAACATCTTCACTGAGAACCTTAAGAAAACTTCCTGATACTCTACAGTTTTGAAAAAGGCAAACAGTAACCACTGTTTTCATCCTCCATTCTCTCAAATGAGAATTTTTGGTTTTCTTACATTTCATTTTGAAAGTCTTTCATGAATGCAATGATTTCCTAAATGGGGATCCCACTCTCCAAGTGGTACACAAACAACCCAGTAGGATGCAAACTTAAATATAAACATATATTATAATCTAGAAAAGAAATTGAACCTTACTCTATTTAATATACAAGTTAACATGGGTCCCTCCCCTGCACAAGTTACCCTGCTGGCAGGGGTCACTTATTGCCCAGACTTAAACATGTGACTTGAAAAGAAAGCAGGAATTTCCCAGACAGGGGAGAGTTGACAGAGGCATCTGAAACATTTAAAACCTTTAAAAACATTTACTATACCATGTATTGCTGCCTCAACAAATCTCCACAAACTTAGATGCTAAAACAATGCAAATTTATAATCTTATAATTCTGTTCTGTAAACAAGAAATCCTCCCTTGGTCTCACTCGGCCGATGGTTGGCAAACTGCAGTTCACGAGCCACACGCTGCTCTTTGGCCCCTTGAGTGTGGCTCTTTCACAAAATACTATGGCCTGGACGAGTCTATTTTGAAAAAGTGGCATTAGAAGAAGTTTAAGTTTAAAAAATTTGGCTCTCAAAAGAAATTTCGATCGTTGTACTGTTAATATTTGGCTGTTGACTAATGAGTTTGCCAAGCACTGCACTAGGCTAACATCAAGGTGCCAGCAGCTGAGTGCCATGCTGAGGTGGTAGAGAAGAATTTGTCTCCTTGCTCATTCCAGTCCCTTGGCAGATTACAATGCCTGTGGCTGTATGACTGAGGCCTCCATTTTCTTGCTGAAGGCCATTCCAGCTTCTAAAGTCATCCCGTTTCTTGGCTCATGACCATTTCTCCCCACCTCCAAAGCCAGCAACAATAAGGCAAGTCTCTCATAAATAGAGTCTCTCTCTCCTTCCCATTGGGTATCTCTGACCCACTGGTCAGCCTTATGTTCCACTTTCAAAGACTCACATGATTAGATTGGTCTCACCTGCATATTATATTCTAGGGTAACCTCCCCATTTTGAGACCCTTAACGTTAATCACATCTGCTAAGGTTACATACGGTTTTGCCACATAAGATAACGTATTCAAGGGTTCTGGAGATTAGGGTCAAAGCACCTTAATCTTTGGGGCAACCATTATTTTGCCTACTAAATAATGAAATTGTTTTGTGTCATACCTGCACTATAAACAAACAAACAAACAAATAAATAAAATTGCTTTACCTGTATAAATATCTTCAAAATGAAAGATTTGCTCCACTGTTAAATTATTAAAATATTCCATCTTTCAAATTCCAAAACAACTACTGACTAGCATTATAAAAGACTGAAATTTATTGGGAAAATTTCCATAGAAACTTGGTATGTTTGATAAATGAGGTTTAAATGGAGTAAAGGGTTTATTAAGTGCGCCAACCTGTATGTCTGCCATTTGAATCAACTAAGTATTCAGAGTTGTCAAAATGAAGTGAACCTTAAAACATGTTCACACAAATATCTGTATATGGATGTTTAAAACACCTTTATCTATAATTGTCAAAAACTTGGAAGCAGCCAAGATAGCCTAAAGTAGGTGAATGGATAAGTAAACTGTGGAACACTCAGACAATGGAGTATTAGTCAGTTCTAAAAAGAAATAAGCTATCAAGCCATGAAAAGACATGGAGGAATGCTAAGTGTACATTACTAAGTGAAAGAAGCCTATATAAAAAGGTTACATACTGTTTGATTCCATCTAAAATCATCCCTGAAAAGGCAAAACTAGGAAACAGTAAAAAGATCAATGGTTGCCAGAGGCTGTGAGTAGTGGAGGCACACAGAGGAATTGGGGAGAGTAGAAATACTTTGTAGACCATAACAATGAACACATGTCATTTTAAGTTTGTTCAAATCCACAGAATATACAACAGTAAGAGTGAATCCTAATGTAAACTATGGGCTTTGGTGATTATGATCTGTCACGGTAGATTTATCAATTGTAATAAATGTACCGTTCCGGTGGGGATGTTGATAATGCAGGAATCCACGCCGGGAAAATCTCTGCACCTTCCTCTTTATTTGCTGTGAACCTAAACTGCTCAAAAAGTCTTTATCTCATCTGGTAAAAGTGTGTATGATTTTTTAAAATTTATTTGTATTGTTGAAAGTATTACAGATGTCCCCTTTGTATGTTTTTCCCCACTGGCCCCCTCCACCCCTCACCTGCCCCTCCCAGGCCTTCACCACACTATTTATTGTCTGTGTCCATGAGCTATGCATATATGCATATAAGTTCCCCATTAATCATTCCCCACCCCCCTATCCCCCTGTTTTAAAATGAACATTACTAATGTAGCAGTAAGTTATATAACAAATAAAAATATTGACATAAATAAATCTTTTATAAATACAAATATACATATATATTTATAATACATGCCCCAAATTTTTACTTATAAGTGCAACCTATCACATTAAAAATTATTATACTAATAAGTTCTTACTAAATATTTCATACATTTAATTGCTACACTAATTAGAACCGTCTAAAAATAGTTATCAATCAGATAACATGTAAATTAGATCTTGATTTGTCATTATTTCAGTTGGCCACTGAAAAATATCTAAAAGAATGGTTACCAAGGATCACAGAATCTTTCCATTTGGGAAACATTCAGCAAATTTTTAAAAAATACCACTTTTTAAATAGATAACAACTTTAAACATTGAACTTTAAAACTCACAGAGACATTTGAGATATCATTTATACTTCTTTGGAATGTAGGTATTTTATTTGCTAGTTATCTTAGCACATATCTCCTCATTTCTTGATGTGTAAACATTCAAATAAAATTTATGTGCACTAGTAACAGCTACTAAAACCTCTGGTTCTCTGGATTTTTTGTTTGTTTTTAAATGGCTTAAGAGTAATAAATATTTTTTGGAACCACAAAAAGTAGTCACAAGTAAAGTTGTACATATTGTTAGCAAATGGATAAAGAATCACAAATAATGCTTATAGTTTTATTTTTCTTCAGTAGCATGTATTTTCCCTCCCAGTCATGCAATTTATTTATAGATTTTTGTTTGTTTGTGTTTGTATGCATGCGTGTGTGTGTGTGTGTGTGTGTGTGTGTGTGTCTACTTGACAAAGGGTGTTCCCTTTAAAAATATAAGTTAAGCCCTAGCTGGAATAGTTCACTTAGAGTGGAGTGTCCTCCACTACATGGAAGGGTCATGGGTTCAATTCCCTGTCAGGGTATATGCCCAGGTTGCAGGTTTGATCCTCTGTCCAGGTACATATGAGAGGTAATTCTCATTCTCTCCCCACACCGCCTCCCTCTCCATTCCTCTTTCTCTAAAATCAATAAAAATATATCCTCAGGTGTGTAATATATATATATAAACCATTCCACTTACCAAACTATTCCCTGAGCCCCAGAGCCAATCGGCTTTAGGTTCTGGTAGCGCTTGAGAACTGTGAAGGTTGAGTCTCCTACTTCCACGCTGTAGAACTGGTTGTCAACTTTGCTTTTGCTCATGTTGTAATGTTTGGCAATATATGACACATCCACTTGTTTATCAAATCCCTGGGGGGGAAAACAACAAAAACATGAGACAAGTGAATTATAACTGAACACCAAGAAGACAAGCAATCCAATTAAAAAATGGGCAAATGACCTGAATACACACTCCTTCAAAAGGGATATACATGAGGCCAATAAACATATGAGAAAATATTCAACATCACTAATCATCAATGAAATGCAACTTAAAACCATAATGAGGTATCACCTCACACCTATTAGAATGGCTACTATCAATACTAGTAAACCAACTAATGACAAGTGTTGACAATGATGCTGAGAAAAGAGAACCTTTGTGCACTGTTGGTAGGAATACAAAAAAACAGTATGGAGTTTCCTCAAAAGATTAAAAATGGAACTGCCTTTTGACCCAGTGATACCACTTCTGGAAATATATTCTAAGAATCCTGAAACACCAACTCAAAAGAATATATGCAGCCCTATGTTCATAGCAGTGTTATTTACAATAGCCAAAATCTGGCAACAGTCCAAGTGCTCATCAGCAGATGAGTGGATAAAATAGCTGTAGTACATTTACATAATGGAATACTACATGGCCATAAAAATAAAAATAAAAAAGGAAATCTTACCTTCTATGACAGCATTAATGGACCTGGAGATCATTATGGTAAGCAAAATAACCCAGTCAGAGCAAGGTATATTCCATACCATCTCACTTATATGTGAACAAAATAAACTGACAAACAAAATAGATACAGAGACATGGAAACATGGAACAGACTAACAGCTGTCTGAGGGGAGGGAGAGGAGGAGAACTGGATGAAAGAAGATGAAGAGATTAGCCAAAGAACTCATATGCCTGACACACAAAGACAACAGTGTGGTGATGGCCAGAGGGAAGGGATGCTGGGTGGAGGTGGGCAAGGCAGAGGAGATAGAAACATCTGTAATAGTCTCAACAATAAAAATAAAGTGGTTTTAAAAGAAAAAAAAAGAAAAAAGAAAGAAGAAGTCCAAATACTCATTCCAACCCCACAGCAACTGAATCAGTAATTCTTTGGGGGTGGGACCAACATTCTGTTTTATTAAGTCCTCTAAGTAATCTGATGCATGTTGAGAGCCACTCACTGAGGGTTTTCCCCTGAAGATTGTAAAATAAATCACACAGCTCTGCCTTAGAAAGAAAAAACTGTCATTATGCAGCAGAAAAAATATTTCTGTATTTGCCTCAAAGAACAGACTTTGTGTTACTGTGGTCTGCCAGGTTCCATTACTGCTGGCACACAAACTGGAAACCGGTGTGCTAGTTAGGACAAAGATTGCCCCACACCTCATTGCTGTAATAGGATGGACCACTATGTCCTAGCAATTATTCACACTCCTGAGAAGTCCCCTTGGTTTTTCTTACTGCATAGGTAAAACAGGACTTCTCATTTAATAGAGAAACTATATATAGCCTTGGTGGCAGTTCCATTAAATTGTTAAAACAATCACAAATCTTATACCAGTAACAAAACTTTTAACAACGAGAGACTTCCCAATCAAAAAGACAGGTAAAAGCTATTCAAATAAAATGCTTAATACCCTAGCATATTTTCTACAATAACAATTACTTAGTGATCTTTTATTTCCACTTCAGAGCACATAACTTCTCAAAATAAGGTTGAAAATCATCATTACAGTAATTGTGAATTCACACACACATTTAACTTTCAAGTATTCTCTTTATATTTAATTTTGAATTAAACTTCAAATAAAATCTAAAGGTTAGATTTTTTTGAAAGTAATAATTCTCAAATAATTGGGAAAAGGTTATTTTAATTATTGGCAGTAAGACACAGGGATAATAGCATTAGAAATTTTCTTGGATAGCAATGTGTTGTGTTGAAGAACTTCCCCCAGATATCATCTGTGCCCTAAGCTTACAAATCCAAATTGAGGTTTAAAAAGGATAGACCATATTTAACACACTATATTTTATCCCCAATTTCCATGCAGTCTTGTTTGTCATGACTGTAAAGTTCAAACAAACTTTTCTCTAAGTGCCTATTAAAAAATACCATTTAGAGCACAATGGAAAAATATTGTCAATGCTAAAAAATTTCTCCAGTTACATGTTTTAGAATACTCTTAGCTTAGGTCACCTAACTTATGATTTGAACCGAGACAAACCAAAGAGAGCTGATGATTAGAAAGAGAAAAACAAAAAAAAATTCATATTGAGAAGACCAATAGTTTAAGGAAACGAGCCCCACTAAAAAGTGTTGACTCAGTGGAACTATGGTAGCACTAAGAATCTGTGTTTTTTATTTCTAAAAAACTTCTATTTTATCTTATTTAATTTTTATTTTTCAACTACAGTTTACATTCAAAATTATTTAGTATTAGTTTCAGGTGTATAGCATAGTAGCTAAACTATCATATACTTTATGAAGTGTTCCCCTGATATTTCTGGTACCCATCTGGCACCATGAAGAGTTATTACAACATTATTGATGATATGCTATAATTTACATCCTTATGACTATTTTGTAACTACCAATTTATACTTCTTAACCCCTTCACCTGTTTCACCCAGTCCCTAACCTGCTTCCCCTCTGGTGACCATCAATCTCAGAACAACTATTTTAGGAAACAGGGAAGGTAGGAGATGTCACCGTTCAAAGAGGGCTATTTGGAGAGGCAAAAACTGGAAGCAATGCAGGTCAAATCAAGAAAACAAAGGATGCAAAACTTAAAAATGATGCCAGGATGACTCTCCTTGATATCAGCACCTGTTCATCAGGCCCAGATGTCATATTCCCAGGGATGTGTTTTCCTATCTCATAGGTGTAATAGAGTGCTTGCCCAATGTTCTCTAAACTAGCTCATGAAAATAAATATTCCATCATCTCTTTATAATCTTTATATTAAATTTATACTAAAATGCTTGGGAAGAATGTCTGAAATTCAAGATTTTCATAAATTCTCATCAAAATAGAAAATCTCTTTCCAGAGAAGAAATTAATATGTTAATTGAGTTAATGACAGCCCAGGCCAATGTGGCTTAGTTGGTTGGGCATCATCCATGCACCAAGAGGTTACTGGTTCCATTCCCAGTCAAGGCACATGCCCTGGTTGCAAACTTGATCTCCAGTAGGAGGTGTGCGGGAGGTAGCTGGTTGATGTTTCTCTCTCACATCAATGTTTCTCTGTCTCTTTTTCCCTCCCTCTCTCTCTAAATATATATTTTTAAAAGAAAGGAAGGAAGGAAGGAAGGAAGGAAGGAAGGAAGGAAGGAAGGAAGGAAGGGAGGGAGGGAGGAAGGAGGAAAGAAGGGAAGAATGGAAGGAGAGAAGAACGGAAGGAGGGAGGGAGGGAGGGACAGAAGAAGGGAGAAAGAAAATTACAAAGGAAGAATATTATATATAAAAATTATAAATCAACAAAATGGTAAATCATTATGGTTCAAAATAACTACAGGTTTAGAATAGTCTATTCTATTGGTCAAATTATTTTTTTAATAATTCCTCCACTGAATATTAATCTTGTATTTAAATCTCAACAATTATTTTTTAATAAAAGATATTTTAATTTTTAATTACATTTATTTGAGTGACATTGGTTAATGTGAACATGTAAGTTTCAGGTCTGCGTTTCTATGTTACAACATCTATATATTACACCATGTGCCCACCATCTAAAGTCAAGTATTTCAATAATTATTTCTATGTGAATATAATAGAATTTAATTGAATTTTCTTTTGCAAAAATTCAAGGCAAATTTTTCCTCATCTCCCATCTGCCAAAAATTTTAAAGCTAAATTAAAAGAAGGCTTTCTTGCCACTGGCCATTTGGTAGGCAGAGAAGAAATCTGTTCTAAATATAATCTGTTCTGTGAAAAGCCTGCACTTTATGTAGACTTGTAAGAAAGGGCCTTGTGCAATGATCTCCATCATCAATTCAGTTGCTGGCCTATGGGCATGGAGTTTGTAAAGAAAATTGCCCCATATGACTGATCTTATCCTGCAGGTGTCCAAAGCCTTCATTGCATTTTTCTCAAATTGAATAACCTACATCCCACAAGCACTCCCTCCCCATTTTCATGTGTGCATGACTGTGCTATGTTACTGCTAGTTAATTCTTAAGCAGAATATATTGAGGTTTAAGAATTTTTAAAAGTTAAGCTTCCTTAGTTTCTTTTTAATGATATGCCTGGATTACTTCTGCACTTAATAACTCTGAAACCTTGAGCAAGTCATTTTATTCTTTCATTAATTTACTATTTATATTATTTCTATTCCTTGTGGTTCTGAAAAAGGATTTGTGCCACTCACCATAAAAGATATAGGAACACTAAAACCAATGAGTCCAGTTTTAAAAATAAATGTCAAATAAAGCAGAGGCTGGGAGATGACAGTTTTACCCAAAGTCTTAAGTTATGGACATCTACTGCCTTAAGCACAAAACTTAGTGTCAAGCCCAAGGAAAAATAATGGCAACACAACAAAACCACAATGAGTGGCAAGTTTTGACTCATTGATCTCATAGAGTCATCACAGAAGTCCCTAGAAAAAGGTAAAATTTCTCTAGCACGTACCTATTAGAAGACTATATTCACTAGTTCTTTCTATAATAAACCTGGAATCAAACAATGGGCAGTAGATGCAATGCTTTTTAATCAAAGGATACAGAAATATGTTTCATATTGATACCATTGTAATAACCTGGTTATTATTTAACAGGAAAGGAGCAAAGGGAAGACTAGATAATACAGGAAGGCCATTTATACAGCTTTGCCAAAAAGCTGCATTTAACACTCTCCAAGTCTATTCCCTGCTGATCAATGCGGGGAGGGGCTGGACAAACACTGTTCAGACTCAAGCCCAGGAAAGGGCTGGGTGATGTCGAAAGGTGCCTTACCTGTCTGCCAGTCACACTGGGGAACAGGTCAGTGGCCAGGACAGGCATGGCCACTGAAGGTTCACAAAACCTGAATAAACTTCCAAACAACAGAAGTTTGCTCTTCTTTCCTCTCTCTCTGGCACACTGGGTTCCTGGC